TTAAAAATTAAGAATAATTTTATTTTAATATTCTATTGTAAATATTTAATATCAGTTGTTAAAGGATAAAATAGAAGTAAGTATTTAAAAATATTAAGAAAAAGAATAAAGGGAATATGATAAAAATGATACTTTATTATTTGAAAAAATTAACATCAAATTTCTCTTAAATTATTAATTATACATTAAAAAAATACGCAAAAATAATAAAAAGGGTGGCTGATATGGTTAGAATTTTACAGCAATTGCGCCATTATGGTGTTGACATATAACAGAACTAGTTTAAAAATTAAGGCTGTCACCCTTTTTAAAATAAAAATAAAAATGGTATTGGTTTAATTTTGCAAATGTCAACATTCATATAAGATATTCTCATTCTCTTTCTAATGGTGTTTTAAATTTCTTGTCCTTTTGAACACATTTAGGTCTTTTCATTTCACATAAACGAATAGTTAAATGCAGACCACTGAGTAAACTAATAAGTCCTTCACATATTGTAAAATATTTTTCTAGATTATATTTATAACAATATAAATTTAATTGCTTTTTATAGAAAATAATAATAAAGTAAAATTATTATCAACTTTTTTATTAATGTTTACCCCTAATTACAATAAATGTTTAATCATTGATAATATAATTTAAAAAATTTTAATCATTTTTTACAAATATATTTTCTTATTTAAATTTAAACTGATCTTGTATCCCATGTAATTAGATATTAACCATTTTAACTCAAATGTACCATACAAAGTTTCAATGTTAAAATTTATTGCTTTTTTTACATTAAATTAATAATTCAGTTCTTATTCTTCATCAAAAGAGATTATATTAAGGTAAAACCCATTTTTATTGATCAAAACACATTATAAAGGATTATAATACATATGAAAATAAGTGTTGCAGCCTTAATCTCCCCCTTCCACAGATAATTATTATACTTAAACAAATTAATCAATTTTAGTGTCTAATTAATAGATATATAGAATATTATGTGGTTCTGGAATTCTTGGTTAAAATGAAAAAATAGAATTAGTTAAGTAATTTATTCTATACCCATATCCTAAAGTTTATATTTTCTATTTGAGAATCCAATTTTGAGAATTATTCTTCTCCATTACTAAAATTAATCCATCTTTTGCATAAGATAAAAATTGAGTACCACAATTATTAATAGATAATCCAAATACATGATTTGAATGTTCTGTTATCTTTTAAGTGCATTATAATTATGAAAAAGAGTTACTAAATGATTTCCAAATCATTATGGTGCAATCATCGCTACATGAAATAATCAAATTTTCATTAGATTCTGACAATGCTATACAATTTATATCAGCAATATGAGCTTTAACTTTGCAAAAATATTTTCCATTTGATACTTAATTTATAGACCATAAAATGAAATAAGAATCTCTGGAACCTGAAATAAAAATTTAGTTCCCCTTAAAAAAATTAAGAGTTGTAATGTAGCATTTATGATTCAAAAGTATTTATAATTATTTTATTCTTCCATCTTTAAATTAGTATACAATAATTTATTGATCTGACCCTGTAGCCATCAAAGTATTTTTGTAGTTAATCCCAAATGAAATTATTAATTTATATCTATTAATTGTCTCTTACGTATTGAAACTATTGATTAATTCATAATCAAATTATTTGCCTTGATACATTTAATTTTATTAAGGAATTATGCCTTTGCATTAACCCATTTAATATTATAATATTCCAATTTTATTATTTAATTCTGTAAATGTTTTTTTTTAGATCATCGCACATCATCAGATTCGATATTACTAAAGAGAAAAGATGTATTTTATTTATAACATTATGTTTCAATATATAAAATTTTCGAATTATATTCTTACATGGTTCTTAACTAGATTAAATAAAATTTTAAATTATCGTGTTTAAAATCCAAGTTCTAAGTAAATGGAAGCATATTATCTATTTGGAGACAATAAAATTCTTTTCCAATTTTTTAGTATGCTGAATTTAGGAAAAAAAATGTAAAATGAAATTCAACAGGGAACTTTCATAATCAAAATACCAATTAAGAAATAATAAGGAAATTATTCAACATATAAATATTAATTTAAATTAAAAAATTGCTGCAACAATTAATTCTGATTATTCTAAAATCATTCATTAACAAAAAGATTGAGTTTCCAATAATCATAATAAAAATGAATAAATTTATCATCACTAAAGATTCATTATTAAATTGAAGTTTAAATCTTATTTATAAAATGGCTAATAGGAAAGAAGAAAAAAAAAGGTGAGAAATGAAATTAACTTATGAACTATAAAATTAATATTTTAATATTCTTGATTCTTTCAAGGAGAAAAAAATATAATAGATAAATTTAAGTAATTATTTCAATTTGTTCAAAACTCCTTATCATTATTATTTAAAGGAAAATTTATTTATACTTTAAGCAATGTAAAATTTTTATTTTGAAATTGATCCTACTCTTAGTAATTATACTATTAGAATTAAACTATTTAAAATTTATTACCTAATTTAGTTGATTGTGCTGCTAGAAAACAAATTGTATATGATATAAAATCTTATCTTATATATATTGAAGGATTCAAAGGATTAGATATCTTTTATTTCAATTTTATTAACAGTAAAGGTTAGTTATCTTTCATCAATAATTTATTATCGAAGAAAATATTACTGATAAAGAGCTCTGAAAGAGATTTATGAAAGTTCTTACAAATTACTTTTAAATCCTGTAAAATATTGTTTCATTTTAGATAATAATTTCTGTTACACTCAAATAAATAGCAAAGAACAGAGATAATTCTACTGAAAGCTCTACAAATAATTTTAAGTTTATGAAAATTTTCTATATATTTTGCATTTTCTTATTTCAACAAAAAAAAAACTCTGATAAAATTACATTTTTAAATATAAATTGATTAAAAATAATAATAAGAAATGAATTAATTTTATGATGTTAATCTCGATTTTAAATAACCAATTGACAAAATTCATTAATATATATATAATTAAAAAAACTACTTGACATCAACATTTTTCGATATTCTATATGCTTTACGAAAAATATATTGTAAATATTTGAAAAACATTTTCTATACTTATTGGAAAATTACAAGAAGACTTAAGAATTAAAAATGATAGAATGTAGAAATAAAAATTAGATCTTAGTTATTAGGATAATATGTTTAATATCTAACTGGTACCATGGAATATTTATTTAATTTATCATTTTGAGGTATTTTTTTATGATTGCTAGATTCCAGGTTTATTTCATTTTTAAATTTTAAAATTCTAAATGTTAAAAAAAATATTAATTATTTAAAAAAATAAGACGACCGAAATGTTATTGAGAAATAAAAGTCATTTTTATTAATCTAAACTGAAAAAGTAAATTTGCTTAGGAAACTTACTGATTATCAGTTAATAGTGGTAGAAACCTGGCAAAAATCTACTTATAGAATTAAATTGAATTTGATTTTTATTTAATCATCAAATCATTTGATTTTAAGTATAAAATCGAATTCAAGTTATAATATTTATCAAATTTTTTGTGGTTATAAAATCGAATCTCCCTTATCAAAAAGCTCATGATTAGCGAAATTTCTCTTTGGCTACTTCAAACAATTTTCAACTCTGGCATATCCTTTTCTAAGTTTTTATATAATTGGTTGCAAAATTTAATATAAATCAAAAATTAGAATTAGGGTTAAATTAGAACTCATTATGCCTATTTAAATCCATCCAAGTATTACTAGTTATTATGGATCCTTTTTCTAAAATTCATGCATTAAATAAATCATATCCATAAAGAAGAATGTTAAATGCTTAAATAAGTCCTTGTAAGTATTTATTTATTTGATTTTATTTTTTTTTATATACAGAAAAGAAAAATAGAATATTTCATTAAGAGCACACAACTATATTTAAATTATTGGACATTCAAAACATCCTACTAAAATAATGCCAAAAATAATTTTTTAGAGACAACTATAAGTTTGCTTTAATTTAATACATCGTTAAGTCTCTTGGTTCATTAAATACAAAACTAACCATATGGATAAACTAATATTTAAGATTAAACTTATTTTTCCTTCTGTACTTTCATAATTTTAATATTAAAATGATAACATTGTATTAATAACATGCTCATATAATAGAGATTAGAATATCATTTCAAATTTTGTCTTAAATTGATTTCCGTTATTTTTTATTAGAAATTTCAGCAATTTATTTACAATTTTTAATTAATATTACTTCAGTTGTTAAGTTTTGAGAAAAGCGATTTTGTGATTTGCAAATTTTATAACGATTTTGATAAATATATGGGTGGAATAAGCTATGAATAAAATGAAAAATATTTGTAAAAAGCCAAATAAAAAGTTTGAACTTCTTCCATCTGCCTAGAAAATTGAATTAGAACTTTCTTTTGTTATAGAAAAGAAAAAATATGTTTAGGGTAAAAATCCAATATATTCAAAAAAGTTTGCCAATTAAATGATTTTGAAAGTCTCAAAAAATTTATCTAAATTTTATCCTTTTATGATATTTATGTATTTATAGTAATATAGCATTTAAATAATTTCTATCTAATTTTCTATGATTTAAAATTCACCAGTTATTGAAGAGATTAGAATTACTGCAGCAATAATTTAAATTTAATATCCACTAAATTTTATTATTGATTCTGTTGTTGATTATTCTTTAATAGATAGGAGATTTGGAGAAGGTAACTAAATTGATATTAACATCATTTATTATTTTGAATCATGCTAATTAAGAATAATACTTGGATCAGCAAAATTCAGAATAAAAATAGGATCAATAATTTTGTAAAAGTATTCTATTTTGATATTTATTTCTAAATTTACTAAATCAAATGGTTCTGATGTATTTGAATCAAATGAAACATTTACTTGAGTGTTTTCAACCTTACCTGATAATGTGTTTAAGTATTTTTCTAAAGTACTATTGTTAGACAGCTTTACATATTAATCATAATATAATGTTAGGATTTAACAATTTTGTATTTATTATATATATTTAATCTAAGGAGATGGATAGAAAATTTAAATGCATTCGTTTAGTTAACAAATACTGTTTAAAGAAGGTTGGCAANTGGAAAATTACAAGAAGACTTAAGAATTAAAAATGATAGAATGTAGAAATAAAAATTAGATCTTAGTTATTAGGATAATATGTTTAATATCTAACTGGTACCATGGAATATTTATTTAATTTATCATTTTGAGGTATTTTTTTATGATTGCTAGATTCCAGGTTTATTTCATTTTTAAATTTTAAAATTCTAAATGTTAAAAAAAATATTAATTATTTAAAAAAATAAGACGACCGAAATGTTATTGAGAAATAAAAGTCATTTTTATTAATCTAAACTGAAAAAGTAAATTTGCTTAGGAAACTTACTGATTATCAGTTAATAGTGGTAGAAACCTGGCAAAAATCTACTTATAGAATTAAATTGAATTTGATTTTTATTTAATCATCAAATCATTTGATTTTAAGTATAAAATCGAATTCAAGTTATAATATTTATCAAATTTTTTGTGGTTATAAAATCGAATCTCCCTTATCAAAAAGCTCATGATTAGCGAAATTTCTCTTTGGCTACTTCAAACAATTTTCAACTCTGGCATATCCTTTTCTAAGTTTTTATATAATTGGTTGCAAAATTTAATATAAATCAAAAATTAGAATTAGGGTTAAATTAGAACTCATTATGCCTATTTAAATCCATCCAAGTATTACTAGTTATTATGGATCCTTTTTCTAAAATTCATGCATTAAATAAATCATATCCATAAAGAAGAATGTTAAATGCTTAAATAAGTCCTTGTAAGTATTTATTTATTTGATTTTATTTTTTTTATATACAGAAAAGAAAAATAGAATATTTCATTAAGAGCACACAACTATATTTAAATTATTGGACATTCAAAACATCCTACTAAAATAATGCCAAAAATAATTTTTTAGAGACAACTATAAGTTTGCTTTAATTTAATACATCGTTAAGTCTCTTGGTTCATTAAATACAAAACTAACCATATGGATAAACTAATATTTAAGATTAAACTTATTTTTCCTTCTGTACTTTCATAATTTTAATATTAAAATGATAACATTGTATTAATAACATGCTCATATAATAGAGATTAGAATATCATTTCAAATTTTGTCTTAAATTGATTTCCGTTATTTTTTATTAGAAATTTCAGCAATTTATTTACAATTTTTAATTAATATTACTTCAGTTGTTAAGTTTTGAGAAAAGCGATTTTGTGATTTGCAAATTTTATAACGATTTTGATAAATATATGGGTGGAATAAGCTATGAATAAAATGAAAAATATTTGTAAAAAGCCAAATAAAAAGTTTGAACTTCTTCCATCTGCCTAGAAAATTGAATTAGAACTTTCTTTTGTTATAGAAAAGAAAAAATATGTTTAGGGTAAAAATCCAATATATTCAAAAAAGTTTGCCAATTAAATGATTTTGAAAGTCTCAAAAAATTTATCTAAATTTTATCCTTTTATGATATTTATGTNTGGAAAATTACAAGAAGACTTAAGAATTAAAAATGATAGAATGTAGAAATAAAAATTAGATCTTAGTTATTAGGATAATATGTTTAATATCTAACTGGTACCATGGAATATTTATTTAATTTATCATTTTGAGGTATTTTTTTATGATTGCTAGATTCCAGGTTTATTTCATTTTTAAATTTTAAAATTCTAAATGTTAAAAAAAATATTAATTATTTAAAAAAATAAGACGACCGAAATGTTATTGAGAAATAAAAGTCATTTTTATTAATCTAAACTGAAAAAGTAAATTTGCTTAGGAAACTTACTGATTATCAGTTAATAGTGGTAGAAACCTGGCAAAAATCTACTTATAGAATTAAATTGAATTTGATTTTTATTTAATCATCAAATCATTTGATTTTAAGTATAAAATCGAATTCAAGTTATAATATTTATCAAATTTTTTGTGGTTATAAAATCGAATCTCCCTTATCAAAAAGCTCATGATTAGCGAAATTTCTCTTTGGCTACTTCAAACAATTTTCAACTCTGGCATATCCTTTTCTAAGTTTTTATATAATTGGTTGCAAAATTTAATATAAATCAAAAATTAGAATTAGGGTTAAATTAGAACTCATTATGCCTATTTAAATCCATCCAAGTATTACTAGTTATTATGGATCCTTTTTCTAAAATTCATGCATTAAATAAATCATATCCATAAAGAAGAATGTTAAATGCTTAAATAAGTCCTTGTAAGTATTTATTTATTTGATTTTATTTTTTTTTATATACAGAAAAGAAAAATAGAATATTTCATTAAGAGCACACAACTATATTTAAATTATTGGACATTCAAAACATCCTACTAAAATAATGCCAAAAATAATTTTTTAGAGACAACTATAAGTTTGCTTTAATTTAATACATCGTTAAGTCTCTTGGTTCATTAAATACAAAACTAACCATATGGATAAACTAATATTTAAGATTAAACTTATTTTTCCTTCTGTACTTTCATAATTTTAATATTAAAATGATAACATTGTATTAATAACATGCTCATATAATAGAGATTAGAATATCATTTCAAATTTTGTCTTAAATTGATTTCCGTTATTTTTTATTAGAAATTTCAGCAATTTATTTACAATTTTTAATTAATATTACTTCAGTTGTTAAGTTTTGAGAAAAGCGATTTTGTGATTTGCAAATTTTATAACGATTTTGATAAATATATGGGTGGAATAAGCTATGAATAAAATGAAAAATATTTGTAAAAAGCCAAATAAAAAGTTTGAACTTCTTCCATCTGCCTAGAAAATTGAATTAGAACTTTCTTTTGTTATAGAAAAGAAAAAATATGTTTAGGGTAAAAATCCAATATATTCAAAAAAGTTTGCCAATTAAATGATTTTGAAAGTCTCAAAAAATTTATCTAAATTTTATCCTTTTATGATATTTATGTATTTATAGTAATATAGCATTTAAATAATTTCTATCTAATTTTCTATGATTTAAAATTCACCAGTTATTGAAGAGATTAGAATTACTGCAGCAATAATTTAAATTTAATATCCACTAAATTTTATTATTGATTCTGTTGTTGATTATTCTTTAATAGATAGGAGATTTGGAGAAGGTAACTAAATTGATATTAACATCATTTATTATTTTGAATCATGCTAATTAAGAATAATACTTGGATCAGCAAAATTCAGAATAAAAATAGGATCAATAATTTTGTAAAAGTATTCTATTTTGATATTTATTTCTAAATTTACTAAATCAAATGGTTCTGATGTATTTGAATCAAATGAAACATTTACTTGAGTGTTTTCAACCTTACCTGATAATGTGTTTAAGTATTTTTCTAAAGTACTATTGTTAGACAGCTTTACATATTAATCATAATATAATGTTAGGATTTAACAATTTTGTATTTATTATATATATTTAATCTAAGGAGATGGATAGAAAATTTAAATGCATTCGTTTAGTTAACAAATACTGTTTAAAGAAGGTTGGCAATTCGAATCACATCCATCTCCATTGATGAAATTACCATCATCACAAAATTCATTTTAATTAATTAAGCCATCTCCGCAATAATACAAAATTATATTTTCTTAATTCTAATTATTAATTTAGGTCTGTGAAGATTGAATGCAAATATTATTTTAACAATTTACACAACTTTGAACATCACAAATTTATTTTGGTTCAGGTTGACATACTTCATCTACAATTTAAAAATTATCCAAACAAGCAACACACTTATTTATTTCATTAAAAATTTTACAATTTTTTTCATTAATCTTTTTACAATTCACACAATCAGTATTATTGATTTCATCGCACTCTTCATCAGGGATTGCAATTATTCCATCTCCACAAACATTAAAACAAAACCCAGTTTCTTTATCAAAATAATAACCTTTCTAACATGTAGAACCATCATCAGTACAAACTCCTTGAATACATAATGGACAATGAGAATAACATGAATATTTGCAATCATAACAACCATCATATGGATCTAAATTATAATCTTCACATTATTCATTTTCAGATATAATACCATCTCCACATATCTCATAACATTAATTAAGGATATCGTTGTAGTAAAGACCTTTTTCTGGATTACATTGCACTTTAATTTTACACTCATTTGTTTATTTAATTAATAAATAATCTTATTCACATTTTTGACAAAATCCAAAATAGCATTCTTTACAGTTATCTTAACATTAAAATTTGCAAGCTGAACAAACTCTTATTTTATAAGTCAGATTATGTTCACATTCCTCAAGATTATTAATGACATTATCTCCACATCTACTCTCACATTTAGAATCTAATTTATTTAAGTAATAGAAATCATCACAAATTAAACAGATACCATTAATCTATAAGCGACAAAAAGAAATAAAAGAATTACTTATCTAATTTTAATTAAAAAGATGATGATTCTCATTAACTTTTCCTATTGGATTGTGAAAGGAAAACATACAAATACCTTTAATCATTACAAATTCTTTATAACAACTTAAACATTATCCTAAAACACACAATTGACAATTAGGATTACAATAAAATTTGCAAAAATGACAACCATCAAAGGGGCTTATATTTCCATCATCACAATCTTCTCCTTAAACTATTAATCCATCTCCACAGACATTAATACATTGATTTAAAATCAACCTAAATCCTATTTAACATGATTAACAACCTGTAATTTGACAAATCAAACAGCTAGGTTGACATGATAATTAACAGTTATAACAACCATCATGAAGTAAACTATTCATATCATCACACTTTTCTTTACCAATTACAATACCATCATTACATTTTTCTAAACATTAATTTTTACTTACATCAAGATAATAATGATCAATACACTCAATACATTTTCTATTTTCACACACTTTACATACGTCATTTTAACATTAGAATTTACAAGTGGAACTGCAACCATCATAATTAATTAAATTAAAATCATCGCACTCTTCACTATTCCTTCCATATGGATCCTTTGCTAAATATCCATCCCCACAAATATTAATGCAAAAATAATTCTAAGGTTTAAATCCAACAATTTAACAATCCAAACAAGTTTTTCCATCTGAAGTACAAGTTTTACAATCATTTCTACACAATCTTTTACATTAATAGCAATTATCATTTTCATCTAGATTGTAACCATCATCGCATTCTTCTCTACCTATTACAATAGAATCTCCACAATTCTCAATACACATCAAAGTTTCAATATTTATTTCCCAACCGTATGTTTAGCATTCATAACATTATCCTCTCAAACATTTTGTACATTAAATTTAACAATCTAATTTGCATTCATAACAACCATCAAATTAAATATTATTACCATCATCACATTCTTCAAAACCCGTTATTATTCCATCTCCACAAATATCTGAACAAGGAAAAACTGTTGTCTAATCACAAGTGTTGCATTGTTTTGGACACTAAAATCTGCAATTTAAACAACCATCATTTATAATTTAGTTCCCATCGTCACATTCTTCATCACCATTTATTTATAAATCTCCACATATTGGAATACAAATATTGTTTATATTCTCAAATCCTAACAGACATGTAACTTGATCACATGGTTAGTTATACCATTTTTTCATGTCATTTCCACATCTTTTGTAACATTATGATAATTAAGTATCTTCCGTTTCAGGGCATTACTAACAAAAGTCATTTAATTCATAAAATCCAATCAAACAGATACATTAAAGTCCTTGTAAACTTCTATTTTAATTGTTACTACAACTTAAACATGAATTTTCAAAAGATGAAAAACAAGTTTAACATTTAAAATTACACTAATCACATTTGAATTAAGAATAATCAAAATAATACCCATCTTAACAATCACAAATATTGCCATTTAATTAAATCTTATCAAGCTATATACATTGTGTGCAAGCTATATTAGAAGGACCATAACAGGATATACATAAATTATGACAAACTTAACATTTTGGAGTTATATTATCATCATAATATCCACTTTAGCAAACACATTAATTAAGATTCAAAATTCGAAAGTGTTTTTCTTCACAATGAATACACCAATCTTTATTATTTCTACATTACTTGCATTTCATGTTACAAGCTATGATAAATTAAATTAATACCTTCACATATATTCAATAATTCATTAAAATGTTGATTTGACTTACACATTAATATACATTTTGTAATATATAATTAGTATGGATAATAACATTGAGTGCATTCATATTCATTAAAACAAGCTTCACATTCTTCTGGACAATTTTCACATCTAAAATATTAATTATCAAGAAATTATTAAGGTCCGCATTCAGATTAATCAATTTTAATAATAGAAGTATCATAGGTATCCATTGTTATACAAGTATTCTCATTAGAACACTGTAAACAAAATGGACTACAATAATGAACAATTATTGAATAATCAGCTAATGCACAATATCTATCCAAGACATTATTATTTTACCCATAACATTGGAATGCTATATATAAGATAGAAGAAGAATGTGAAATTTTTATTGTAACTGTTTAATTTAAATTAATCTATGTTTCAGTATTATTATTAATTGAGTATCCTAAATATCCAGCACCACTCTAAAAGTTGCAACCAAATATTGCATCAAACTAAATTGTTAATTAATGATGAGGTTTAAGGATAGTATATTTTTAAGAAAATTTCGCAGTTGCCCAAACATATTTGCCTCCAAAAACTGCTTTGGATTCAATATATGACCAATAAACAAAAACTCCTTTTTAAAAATCTCTCTCTGTAGAAGACTCTAAAATAAACATATCTTTTATGGTATTGGGTACTGTAAAATCAAAGAATAATCTTATAAAGTATTAAGAATCTATTTAATAATTAGTAATTGGATACATTTTGTAATTTAATCATTTTTAATACAAATATTATTTGTAAATGTTGAATCTTTTGGACAACTTATAACACATCTACCATCTGAAACTTTTTTATATCCACTTTAACATATAGAGCATTCATAATCTCTTTCACACTTTAAACAAAAGGCAGGGCATTAAGAGCTTGCTAACACCGTATAAATGATATACCATCCTGAATTTGAATTACTATATTTTTATTTAAAATATTTACGTAAAATTTCCTTTGAGAGAAAAAATTAAATTTCCTTATTCAACATATAGATTTGTAGATAAAAGATAAACATTAGCTGTTTAACAACCAGTAAATGTTATTGTATTTTAAGCATAGAAAAATAAGTTATCAGTTTAAAATTACCTTCCATCAAAATAAAAAGAAGAATAGTATGTAGAATTTAGGTAGATAGAAATTCCAGAATTGATAGGAGTGGCATTACACATTAAAATATATATTTATGCAGTTAAAGGGTATAAAAATTAAGTTGAATTAACTGTAACTGATGCTCCTTCGTTATTTTTAAATACTCCAAAATAAGGTCCTAATTTTTTATTTTAATTGTTTAAATATTTAGGATCATAAATTACTCTCCATTAAATCAATTATGTATAACTATATTATTGAAGCTATAAAAAAATGATATATCTTATTTCATAACCCTTACAATATCTTTCTCTTCTATCTGGAGTACCTGTTAAACAAAATTTCAAACATCTATAATAAGATGGTGGTTCACCAGATAGAGTAGTTCGTATGGGACATCGACATATTCCATCAACTAAATTAACATCTCCAAAACATGATGTACATTGATCGTAATTCTCACCAAAACAAGTCCTACAAGTTCTATGACATGTTTAATAAGATAAATGTATGTTTCTGATTAAAACTTCATTTTAATTATTTCGAATGCTGAACTTTAAATTTTTTAAAGCATTCACATCTTATAAAGCTATTTGGATTGTTCTCACTTAATGTAAACTTGAATTACATCCTCCTGATTAAAATTTTAATGGATTCTCTGTAGAATATTTAAATATATATTATTATAATTTGTACTCTACCACAAATTCTCCTTCAATCCATTATGTTAAAAAGTATAAATCTAAAGTAAGTGTATGGTATTGACCATTAGACCTTAAATTGTTTATTGCTTCACTTAAAACAGACAACATTTATTTAGAATTCAAAATTAGTGCTGACCCTATAGGATTTGTGCAATTAGAATATAGAGCACTAACTTATTCCAGATTCTTTTTGAATTAGTAAGGGCAATCATTATTAATGCAATTTAAATTAGTAGTCTAATGAAAAGCACTAAAGTATATTTCCCAATATCCATTGACTAATACAATTAGAATGATAAGCTAGATCATTTTTGAATTTAATGATTCAAATATTATTAAATATAAAATCTTCATAATGCTTGACCATATATATATATTAAAATTTTCTACATAGAATAATTTTCTATAATAATTCTAAATGTTAGGCTATTTTTTATAATAATTATTTTTATTTTAATTAACACGTTTACAATTTTAATTTAACTTTTTTAAATTTAAGATAAACACAACCTCTTTATTTAATCTGAATAGAAAATTGTTATTATTTCATGAATACTTTTTTTCAAAAAAGGTCAGGTGTACAAGATTTTGTTATCTAATGAAATAACCAATTGCTTTAGAATATATCAAGTATGTTATTTTGATACATTTTTTAATAAACAATAAAATAACAAAAAATATTCTTTGATCTTATATATATTTCTTGATTTATAAAAAAAGTTTTTATTTAATATTTCTTATAAACATCCTGAAATATTTCTTATTAAAAGGGCGAACAATCAAGTTTTTGTTGTTTTTCACTTCTACAATCCACCTATTTTTTTAAGAAAAAAAAAATTTAGCATAAATAAAATTTGTTTCAAATTTTTGCAACCCAAATATGCTTAAGCTTTTTTAATACTTCCTGAAAAAATGATTTTTAATTAGAAATTTTACCTTAAAAAAATTTCTACATTAATTGAATTAGCATATTTTCTCTTTAAAGTCGTTATCAACTTAAGAATATTCTCCTCTATATTTATAATAGGTCTCATTTCCTAAATAACTATTACCATAATAAAATAACTTGTTGAAATCAGACCAATTTAAGTAGTTTTGAATTAAAGTTTAAGATTGATTTAAAAATTATCTTTCATGAATTAATTGATAGTCGAATAAAAAGTAAGCATATAAATGGATAAACGAATAAGTTGAAATATAAAATTATTAAATTAATAATAAGGATTACTAATTACACCACATTCTACATGATTAAATGAAAGTATTTATTTTTTTATTTATAAAGAAATGATAAATTATCTATAATGATCAAACAAAATTTTTAATATTTTAATGTTTATGTAGAA